TTATGAGATAGTATCTCATAATTATGACTTAGACTTAGCTATCTCATAATTATGACTTAGCTATCTCATAATTATGACTTAGCTATCTCATTATTATGAGATAGTATCTCATGACTTAGCTATCTCATTATTATGAGATAGTATCTCATAATTAAGAGATACTATCTCATTAGCTGTCTCATAATAATGAGATAGCTATCTCATAATAATGAGATAGCTATCTCATAATTATGACTTAGCTATCTCAGTATTATGAGATGCTATCTCATAATTATGACTTAGCTAAATGAGATAGCTAAGTCATAATTATGAGATACAAGTTTTATTTTTTTTTTATCAGGGTGGCAGAAATAGGCTTCCATATATTTCAAATAGTTTTTGCATGAAATCAAATTTATGAGGAAAAAATTAAAGCACATTAAAATCCGACTGTGCACATTAAAGAGACATTTAAAAAAATATGTAAAGTAATCCAATAGTCTTTGATTTCTTCAGACGATTCAGTAGCGTAAACAAATGTTCCAACCGCAACACTTGCGCCTGTCCAACTAATTAGCACAGCTCAACATGCRAAGAGAAATAGGGGGGTTAATGTAAGATTTTAGTTTTGTTTATAACGATTTTTACYTTATTACAATCAGCGAGTATGTTTCCTTGGTTATTATCAATGCGATAAATTACACACCATATCTCAAATAGTTCCTATAGTGGCCATAAAGCGTCCAGCATTAGRATAAAAATCACAACGCACCCCCATAAATGATCCCAGATGGTACGGTCCGTTCGTTGGAGCTTCAGGGTGGTTTTCAGACTCTTCTTGCGACACGATCACGGTGAGGATGGATGTTGATACGTGGGCGTCCTAACTTCTGTCGTGGTTTTATTTAGGTYTTAAAAGTAGTTCAAAAGTCACTTAAACCTACCTACAACAGAAAACAAACCCCCCCCCGCTGGTGTTTGTGGTAAGTAATACTTCTTAGTCGACTTGTCTTGTTAACTTATCAATCAGTCTGCACTTGTTCATCAATTTTTCRAAACTTGTTTCAGCTAGTGTGTCTGTTTTTCATCTCAGTTAATAATATGTTTATTTACTAGGCTAAAACTCAAAAAGTTTCACAGTTTTGAACTCTTAAAAAACACATAAAAAAATCAGGCTATTGTTTTGTTTTTTAATTGGGATGACTGAACATGGTGTTCCTTATGCTAATATGCTCCTGTGTCTGTTTTTGTGTTGTTGTTMTTTTCCAGTATGTTTATTGAGGGCAGCAAGGATTCCTGATGCTTAAGAGACCTTGCAGAGTGCAGAGACAGGTGATGCTGTTTTTCTTGGCCAGCAGTGAGCTCCGAAATACGGATTAAASTCGTCTTGGAAAGGAATTAAAGCAATACAGATGGCTGCTCTCATGTGACGCCAGGTTTGTTTCTTCTTGTCAGCAGCAACAGGGAGTTGTTTAAAGATGTCAGCAAACATGGTTTCAACCAACGACGAGCTTGTTTCTACAGCTGGATGTTGTAAAGACAGAAGGTTTCTTTTACCCTCATTTCAGGGGAGATTATTTTTGCAAAATGAGAGTTTTAATAATCACAACTTGTTTCTAGAGGCTCCACAAGAGGATATCTATGGACATTTCTTTAATATTATTATTACAAAAAAACTTTTCTATTATGTCTTGTCTAAAACTCTCATTGCTCAAAATGCAAAAGCAGCAAAATCTTGTAAATAATAACTTAGATGCCCAACTGTGATTTGTTTTCTTGCATTCTGTTTATTTTATTAGTACAGCTGATTTTAACTTGTGTATTTCTATAACTCACAATACAGTAACTATAATGTGCAAATCAACAAAGTTGTGAAATATTATATTAGTCTCGTGTTTTGTAATGGATACTCAAATCTACATGAAGTATTTTGGTTTGTAGTTGAGATTTGTGCCATTGCAGTTTTTCCGTGCTGAAGTGAAGTTCAGTATTACTGTGTCATCAGGTGGTCATGCTACAGGAATTTCAGGTTTGTTTTAATGTCTGTTTGCGCTGACACCCTGTCATCATCGAGGCCGTGTTTGAACATGCCCATAAGTCGGATTCAGTAGGGCTCTGTGAGCTTGTAAGAACGCTTGTTTTGCACACTGGAACCACCTCTTGTTCCTATTTAGTTTTTGTGGTTTTTATCTCGTTTTGTCGATCTGTATCGTTTTTTTATCTCGAAATGTGAAGACTTGACTTCCCACTAGGAGGGAAATAAACTAACAAAGATTACACAGGTGCAGGGAATGATAGAATTAGCAGTATGTCCAAGGATTTCTGTTTTTTCATTTTAAAAAAAGATCTTATTTTATTTGAAAGCAAGTTGATTTAGTCGGTTACCTTTTTTCTTTTTTTTCTTTTTTTTATCTTCTCATGTGGTGCTTGTTATCCAGAGTGGGATTTAAAGAGATCTGAGTCGGCACACAGCAGTAATTAACCAGATTAATTGATTCTTAGACGTACCAGTTGGGGCTTTAGGTCGGCATGATTCAGGTGGGCCTTGGGGGGCTTACGGGCTGATCTCTGCCATGTCTGTCTCTGGTGGCGTTAAGCACGGTCTGCTTGAAAACAAATACAGTTGACTAGTTTGACTTGTCTGAATAGTAATAATTTWAAAAAAAAAGTGTTTAATTCCTCCCAGTAGATAAATTGAGTTTATTTCAGGCTGTTTATAAACAMGTCTGAAAATGGGATTTTTTTTTCTGTTCCAATGAAGTCTTTTGCAGTAGCGGTGCAGAGACTCACACCTTACATGGACATACTTCAGTGTCAGCTTACACACAAGTTGACTCTTCCCTAGATTCAGTGCATTTTAATACCACTGGCCTCTTGTTGCGTTGCACCGTCTCTTGTTTATCTTATCAGATCGTATCTTCTCTAAATTTTTCACAAATCCCAAACTTGGTTTTAAATATTCTACTGTTAGTGTACTATTTTCTAGCCCTGGTTTTAAAAGTCTACATGTTGTMGTTTTGGATCTGCACCAGGTTTAGTGTTGTCAAGATGCATTTAGATAGATGCAAACTTAAGTTTCACAATTAAGATATTTTTCACAAATCCCAAATTTGGTTTTAAATACTTTACTATAACTGCAGAAAGATGTACACCAGGTTTGAAAAGTCTACATGTGGTAGTTTTGGATCTGAACCAGGTCTAGTATGGTCCCGATTGGTAAAAAGTGGAATAATGCTTTGATTTCTTTCTCAGATGCAGCATGGGTGATGTTGGCTTGAACACATAAAAAAAAGGCGAAGGACAGAAGAAGCAATTGAAAAGGAAAAAAAAAGTGCGAAGCAGTTTGCGGCGCATACAACACGAGTGACGGACTTTTAGAGACACCATGTCCACGTCTGCCAAGCAGGAGCAAACCATTTGTGTTCTCCTTCCCAACAAAAACCAGTTGGATATCACTGTTGGGGTAGGCTTTTTTTATCTCAAATTTTCACAATTAAAAGATTTAAAAAAATAATAATAAAATTTTGTTTTTAATTTGCTTCAGTTAAAAACTACAGGACAGGATGTGTTTAATCATATTTTGGAACTTCTCGAWATCCAGGAGCTACGCTTCTTCGGCCTCACAGTGGTGAAAGGTAAGTTCATTGCCCCCTGAACCCTGATAGGACCCCTCTCCACTGCTGAACCCAACAATAGAAGCTCAATAACTGMGGTGTGGAACCACATTTTACCGGTCTAGGAGTTACTCAGATGTGACACCGGTTAACACCGTCCACCAATGATTTACTGCATTACGCTTGTTTATGTAACTTTGGGAACAACTTTTCTAACATTAAGCCGTTTCTTCAAAACAAAAAATCGTGATCCTGCCWCGTTACTTAGCATAATCGATTGGTATAATCCACTTTAGCCGCTGAGCAAAGTCCTGAGCTTTCTGTTTCTAGTGTTCCTGTTTTACAAACACGTTGAATGCCTCAGTAATCTCATGTGGCTCACCACTTGAACAAGCAGCCTTTTGTTTTTTTCTTTTTGTTATTTTCTTCTTTTTTTTTTCATGGTGTTGGTTCAGCGATCACTCGGGCCTGGATTCCTGCATTATTAACTTCATTAATCCTGGAATGCACCCTTGCATTCCGCTGCTTCACTGAGGAGGGATGGGTTGATGACGGGAAGAGGAGGGTGGGAGTAGAGGTGGGGGGGAAAAAAGAAAAATTGGGGTTAGGAGCTGTCATGATACAGACTGCTCGACTCAACTGTTGCTCAAAGGCCTCGGTGTGGGAGGAGAGGYCTGGGAGCTGGGGTGAGTCAGAGTGGGAAGGGGATGAGGTGGATGGTGGGCAGAGCAAGCTGGGAAACAGCTCGGTGAACGTGTTTCAGCTGTGCACGGTTGAATAAAAAGGATGATCTGGTTCAAACAGACYTGACTCAGAGTCATTAAGTGAGCGGTACCACATCCTCATACTCTGCAGGTAGCAACAGCTTTTTATAGCTTATTTAAACTACATGTTTCAGAGTAGGAATCGCAATCAGAAAATCAAAACATAATGGAAAAATCCTTGTTGTCACAGCTTCTTGTTGGCCTTATTAAAACATAGAGCATTGTCTTTTTTAACCTTTTTATAAGCCCCATTGTCTGGCAGATTTTATGCTCTGTTACTTTATTGTTTTGTTCTCTTGCTGTCTTTTTCTTATCTCGTGGTTTCGTGTTTTTATTTCAGACAATGAGCACATATTTATAGACATGGAGGAGAAACTCACTAAGTACTTTTCTAAGGATTTGAGGCCCGATTCAGGAAAGGTAAGACAACCGGTTTACGTCAAGTTTTTTGAGCATGTCGATGAGGAAATAGTTGATTAAATGAAGTTTGAAACCATTTGATGAGTCAGTTAATTGGACGGTTCCAGTGAAGGAGTTCCACGAGCTACATTCTCATTTATTTTAGTTTTTAATGTAATTCAAATCTAATTGATGCTTCTCTTTCTGTAGGGATCACTGAGGAGACCCATTCCACTGCTACTCTTCCTCAAAGTGCAGTATTATGTTGAAAATGGGAGACTTTTTTGGTACGTCTTTCTGCATATGTTTTCTTTTTCTTTCCACTATTTTACTTTATTTATAGCTGTAGTACTTGTTTTCAGTAAACATGTGTGAACACTTCACAAGCGTTCACACCATTGAGATCATGTTTTCTTCTCTATGTCTTTTGGCACGTATCTCATTCTGCAATTTTTGAGCTATTTCAACAATTCGTGTTTCAAAACGTTCAGCTCCTTCAGGACTTTCCAGCTATGCCTTTTGGTATTTCAGCTATTTATACTTTTTTTGTTATTTCACTGTTTCAGACACATTTTTTGAAAATGAATGGAGCTGTTGTTATCCTTAAAACCCTTCAAAATGTTTCTAAGTCTTTACAGCACCTTACACCTTTTGTTTTGGTTCTGGTTTTTTCTTGTAAGAATTTTAGCTACCTTTTTTTTTTTGCTAATTTTAGCTTTTTCAACAATTTCAGCTTTAACACTGCTTCATTCTGCATTTTTGTTCTTTCTTGCACTTCTTTCTGCTAATTTGAGCTTTTATGTTTCTTACAGTTTCTTAATGTTATATTCATTAATTGCTGGAATTTTAGCTAATGTTAAGCTGTTATTAGCTAAAGTTAGCTTTTTAGGCTTATTTCACATTTGTGTTGGTATGGCAGCTTCATTCTGCTTAGTTCAGTAAACCTGTTCTTGTTTATAACATAATTTAGGAATTTCCAGCTACATTTTAGCTAATTTACTGGACAATTTGGCTGTTTTAGCTATTTTACTACAAATTGTCACTTTTTTTGTACTTTCTGCTTTTATTCTACAAATTGGAGATTTTGTAAACCCTTTTCACAATCTGGGTGCTAATTTCAGCTTGTGTCTGCTAACGTTAGCTTGTTTTATGCTAATTTTAGTTCTTTTCTGTCGTTTCAGCTATATTTCTGCTCTTTTCAACAGTTTTTCTGCAAAGTGAAACTTTTTTTTGCTTCTTTCAGCTTCTCAAACTGAACTTGCATTAACAGTTTTATTATTAAGCAATTTCACCTCCATTTCAGCAGCTTTCAGCTGAAGTTTCCAGCAATAAGCATTCGCACTAGCATTTTCGCAGGAAATGTCGTTTCTCTAGTTGTTCTTGTTTCCATAAGCTGAGATTTTTTTTGTTTGTTTGTTTGTTTTTCGTTTTTGTGAATTCAGTAAGCGAAAGGAACGACATTTATACTACTGCGACCTGCGGGAGCGAGTTCTACGCTCCGAGTGTCGTCAGCAGGAGGAAGTGTATTTCCAGCTGGCAGGTTATGCTCTCCAGGCTGACCTCGGCGATCAACCGTTGCAACGGGAGGGTACAGAGGTCACCCCTTACTTTGAACCCAAGGATTACTTTCCCCCCTGGGTAGGTGTTGTGTTGTGTTGTTTTTTATGGTGGCAACATTAAGAAATCTTAAAAACTCTGAAGACGTTTTTAAACACTTGAACATTTTGATGTTTATGAAACCTAAAACACTTAACGGTTGATTTTTTTTTTTTCCTGCAGATTATAGCTAAGCGTGGAGTGAGCTATCTCCTCTGCCATGGGCCCAAGGTGCACCAGGAGCTGTGGGGGATGTCAAGTCGTGATGCCATCTTTGCCTTCATCCGAGACTCGTGTCAACTGGAGGATGTGCCCGTTACATTTTACAGATTGCAAAAGGTACAAAAGTTGCCTATTAGTTTAGACAAATACCTGTCTTTTTGCGTTGTTAGGAAGTTGGATTAAGTTTCAGTTTGGTTTTCCTTTTGGTCCAAATAGAAAAACAGATGAAACTCAGACACTTAAATTGGCTTCATTTCACCTCTGCTGGACGACTAACTCAAAGTATTTTTCATGTTGAGCAACTCATCTACTGAGTAATATTTTGAAAGCGGCTCCAACTACTACTAAATGAAGTGRTGGCATCATCAGCTCAGCACGAGCTGGAAGAGATGTTTAACTGGTGCGAGAATGATCTTATCTGAGCGCCTCGGATGCCTTTCTGACACCTCATCTTTCATTTGTTTCAGGACAAAAAGGAGGAGAAAGGAACGGCGTTGCTCGGTCTGACCCTGCGAGGAATGCAGGTTTATCAGGTGCGTGCGTATTGGTGCGCAGTGGTGTTGCACAGTAATGTCTGATGTGTGTACACAAAGTAATTCTGCGTTGGGTCAAAGATTCAGTCTTTGTGTCTGAAGTGCTAATAAACTCTGACTCGCTGTGTGAGGAATGTGTAGGATTGCCACCAGCAGCGGTCTGTCAGGAGATAGCTGCCTGCTGTGCCTGTCAGTTGTTTGATCTGTCCATCGGGGGCCATCTGGGTGTGTGTGTGTGTGTGTGTGGGTGGGGGGGGATTAGCGCACCAGGCGTGCCTGATTTGAAAGCCAACAGACCATGAGATATCTTGAAGTCCTTGGCCTGTTTTTTTGTTATTTTGTTTTTTCTAGTCCAGATGGCTCTGGAAAATAGTTACTTATTGATTTCCTATTTTGACATTCATTGTAAGCAGAATATGTATTCCACGTTCAAAAACCTGTTAATTATTATGTGTTTATAGGAGGTGAACAACAAGCGACAGCTGCTATACGACTTCCCCTGGTCACATGTTGGACGTCTAACTTTCCTGGTACATCTCGTTTTGCTTCTCCTCGTCTCTAGCAAAGAATTAAGTGGAGTCCTTGTAATTATTTAATGAGCATTTGCAATTTAAAATATGTTTTCCCATTCAGGGTAAGAAATTCGAGATCCAGCCAGATGGCTTGCCGTCAGCCAGGAAGTTGGTGTACTACACCGGCTCTTCGTTCCGCTCTCGTCACCTCCTCCTGCACCTGAGCATCAGCCACCAGACTTACCTGAGCCTCCAGCCCGCCCTGAGACACCTGCGTCAGTTGGAGGCAAGCAAAGGTGAGCCAGGGCAAGGAGAGCCTGATTGTTTATAGTGCAATGTTGTCTGTACTGCCCTATAATATAAACGAAATTGTTTGATTGGGATGGTCTATGGAGGCGAGTTCTCCATCCGTCTTCTTCCGCTTATCCGGGGTCGGATAGCAGGGGCAGCAGCCTAAGTACCCAGGCCAGCCAAGAGACATAGTCCTTCCAGCGTGTCCTGGGTCTTCCTCTGGGCCTCCTCCCAGTGGGACGTGCCCGGAACACCTCACCAGGGAGGCGTCCAGGAGGCATCCTAACCAGATGCCCGAGCCACCTCAACTGGGTCCTTTCGACGTGGAGGAGCAGCGGCTCTACTCTGAGTCCCTCCCGGATGACCGAGCTTCTCACCCTATCTCTAAGGGAGAGCCCAGCCACCCTGCGGAGGAAACTCATTTCAGCCGCTTGTATCCACGATCTCGTTCTTTCGGTCACTACCCAAAGCTCGTGACCGTAGATGAGGGTAGGAACCTAGACCAATCAGTAAACCGAGAGCTTTGCCTTCTGGCTCAGCTCCCGCTTCAACCATGACAGACTGGTACAGCGCCCGCATCACTGCAAACACAGTGCCAATCCGCCTGTCGATCTCCCGCTCCATTCTTCCCTCATTCATGAACAAGACCCCGAGATACTTGAACTCCTCCACTTGGGGCAGGACCTCTTCCCCAACCCGGAGAAGACACCCTACCATTTTCCGGCTCAAGACCATGGTCTCGGATTTGGAGCACTGATCCTCATCCTGGCCGCTTCACACCCAGCTGTGAACCGCTCCAGTGAGAGCTGGAGATCACGATCTGATGAAGCCAATAGGACCACATCATCTGCAAAAAGCAGAGATGGGATCCTAAGGTCACCAAAAAGGATCCCCTCAACACCTTGACTGCGCCTAGAAATTCTGTCCATAAAAGTTAAGAACAGAATCAGTGACAAAGGACAACCTAACTCTCACCAGAAACGAGTCRGACTTACTATCGGCAATGCGGACCAAGCTCTGGCACCAGTCGTACAGGGACCTAACAGCCCGTATCAATGGGCCTGGTACCCCATACTCCCGGAGTACCCCCCACCAGAGTCCCCGAGGGCAAGTTCTCATTTTTATCTTAATGAACACAACTTTTTGCATCCTGTGAATTGTCAGGTTGTGGATTTTCTATTTTTTTTTTTTTTTACGGTCAGATTAGGTCTTATTCACTATTTTTTTAAAGCAAAATTTCTTTATTCTAGAGAAAAAGTGTTACAGAGAGTCGTACATCAGTGACGACCTGGATATGGACCCACCCGGCAGCGAAAGCAGCCCCGGCCTGTCGCGGCGCTCCACCGGCAGCTCGGGCATCGAAGCAGACGCCCGTCAGCACAGCATCTACACAGAGGCCACCTCCATGGAGGGTGAGGGTCAGCATCAGGGAGAGAAGTGTTTGAGCCCAGCGACCAGCCACAGCAGCTCCTGCACTTTCGAGTCTTACACGTGCGGTAAGGCTGGAACAGAAGCTCAGCCATGGCAAAGAAAAGGTGAGAACGATTCACTTCTTTGGTCGTGATCTATAGAGTGCGCTGATTCTTTTCAACTCAGAACTGAAACGAGTGGAATGACTTGTAGAAAAAGCTCGTGTTGGAGGTCCAGAGGGTGTTCTTGATCCTGATGGGATGTTCCAGTTGGCTGATCTTCTCGAGGGAGTGTCGGTGGATTGTCCAGATTTCTCATCAGAACCTCAGTCACCAGGTATCAATAATGTAACTGTCCTCGTTCAATTTTTTTTTGTAAAAATATCCGCTTTTATTCTGAAATTTTGTGTTTGGGCTTCACAGTAGATAATGGGTGTCCTACAGATGGTGATCCTAGGCTGTTATCGAGCAACAAAATGATAAAACAGGTCTGCCGTGCTTTATTTTTTTATCCTAACTATACCTTTTTTTAAATAAATTGTATTCACTGAGTGTTTATATTCTCACACCGTCTTCATCTTTATTCTAGATGCTGAAATCCAGAGGTCAGGTTCGTATGGATCGGCACAGCCACAGCCTAGATGATGTTTGTGTTTCCCCACCTCCTGCACCRCTCAGGATGGCACTGCTGCCAGATTCCTCTGTCAGCTGCACCTTCGGGCTCCCAGACGTTACGCCAAACGCACCGACTTCTCTTGATCACAGTTATTACCCCGTTCTGGACTGCAGGTCCAAACCTTCCTTTTATGGCCGCAGGGCTAGCAACTGCCTCTCCCTGGACACATTAAGTGATGACCAGATTCTGGAGTTTATTCTTTGAGCATGTTTAATGCTTATGAACTGTATACTGCATAAATGAACTTATAATTGCTGCTGACCCATGAAAGACTGTGATCATATGTGGACTTTATATTGCAGAATCACCATTTAAAACAGACTTTGCATGCTTCCTTCAAAKGGTGTGGGTTTGATAYAAATYTCATACAAGGACAGTTCAACAAGTAAACATATTTATTAAACTGTATATTTTGTGTATATGACTTGCACTATTTTAATAGCCGACAAACTTCTCATACAAAAATATACCTGTTCAAACTCAGWGTCTTTTATTAGTCAACCTTATTCAGATGTTCTGAAATGTTTAGTGAGGTACAAGTGTGTAAAATGTTGACATTTGAAATCTGTCTCTGCTGCATTGGACATTTGTAAGCTARGGATCCATATTTTTATATATTAATCATACTACAAGCAATATTTTTTATATATTTAGAATTTCTAAAGCCCATTGTACAGAAGATTGTACTTCAGAATATATGTCGTAACTTTATTTTTATTTTTTTGAAAATCATTTTTATAATGTACTGTTTTGTGAATTAGCTTGTCATGTTTTCCATATTTAGTCTTTCATAATGATGACAGCTGGCCARGCATTCATCCAAAGTTTACTTTTTCTGTACACACCCTCTCGTTTTTAACTACAAAAGTATTAATTGTAGAACACTATTTCGGTATTCTGCAAGCTGTGGGATTTTTGTATTATGTAACATGAACAAAAAGCCTTTATCATTTTTTTTTCTCCTTCATTAGACATTTTTACTATTTTGAATTTGGAGTTTTATATAAACTGATGTCCTGTGTGAGGTCAATAGAAAGTAAATTGACTAAACATTGCGGAAAAGAAGCCATTTTTGTCTGCTGAACACACAATTTTTGTTGAAAACAAGGTTTTTATAATGTTAAAAAAATAAATTTATAGTATAACATAAATAAAGCGTTGTTTTTTGTGCTATTTATGCTAAGCGTGATTGCTTAGTTTTAAATCTCGTGCACACTTCTCGCGAGAGTTTCTGATGACGTTTACGGAAGTTTACATTCCGCTTCGGGTAAACGTGCAACTGAGCAGAAAAGCCGGCTGCTTGGTGTTTAAAGTTTGCTTGTTCGGGACAGTGTAACGTTAAAGAATGTATTCTGTTTTAATAAACGCGGTCCTGAGCAGCTCTCCCGACTACGACGTGTTGTTTGAGTCTCTCTGTTGGCCGGGAGAGACTTGTTGGCCGGAGACGGAGCGTGTGGAGGCGCTGACGGCTCTCGTTGAAAGACTCGGACCTCTTCTGTCCGACTCCGGTTCGAGTCCGATTACAGACGCGAAGAAACGCAGCATTCAGGAAAAAACCGAGTCGGTCATTTGGTCGAAGTGTCTGCCGTTCCTGTCCAGAATATCAGCGGAAGCAGACGAAGAAGCGCGCTGCAGGGAGAGCACCGCGGCTGCCTGCGGACTCCTCGGTGCCTGCGCCGCTSTGTGCGGCGAAAAGGTGCGGAGGCGAGTGGTTTTATCCGCCCTGCGGTCCTTCCGGTGGTCAGAGGARGAGCCGGCTCAGGGGGGTCTCAGCGCGCAGGTCGCCGCTGAAGTTTTAGCAGCTCTCATGCCTTTTGTTACAGCGGATGAACAGCTCACATCCAGCACCCTGAACTCCGCCTTGTCCTGCGTCAGGTCTCTCCAGGACGCGCTGCTGCTCTCCAGGATCACAGTCCGAGTCCTTTTAAGGTTGCTGGACTGCTGCGGCTGTGAGAGGTCAGGCGGGATCCTGAAGCGCGTCCTGGATGATGTGTGCGGCTGGCACTCCTCTGAGCCCAGCCCGGGGGCCACAGAGAGGGCCCTGCTGTGTTTCACCGTCTTATCAGACCACTTCCTGAGGCCCCGCGGCTCCCCGGACCCCCGGCTGTCCCCTCAGTTCTGGAGGCTGGTTCAGGGTGGACTGGTCCACAGAGACGGAGTGTCACGTAAGAGGGCGCTGTACCTGCTGAAGAGATGTGCAGCTCTGTCCGAGGAGGAGGGGGTGGACTGTCCTCTGTCTGCATCACAGGAAGGTACAAAACAAATCAAACCTTCATGACGAAGATGAAGTTCGCTTCCGATTCGGGAAATGACTAAAGTGATATTACAACTAATTTTTCACTACCTTT